TTTAAAACACTGAAGAGATGGTGTGAGTGGGATGAAGCTCAGTAGAAAGAGAAAGGAGAGGCCTCAGGATTTTTTTAAATTAATTTTTTAAATTCTTTAAAAATGTTCTTTAAAAGCACCACATCTTATCAAATTTTCACTTTAACCACCTGTATGAGAGCCAGCATGGTTTGAGTGTTGGACTACAATTCTGGAGACCAGGGTTTGATTCCCAGTTCAGCCATAAAACCCACTGGGTGACCTTGGGCAAGTCACACTCTCTCAGCCTCAGAAGAAGGCAAGGGCAAACCTCCTCTGAACAAATTATGCCACGAAGATCCCATTATAGATTCACCTTAGGGTCTCCATAAGTCAGAACCAACATGAAGACACATGAACACAAATACATTTAGGCTATGCACACGATATTTCAATTTTAATTTTGCTAGTTTTTTAATTTAAAATTGCTGCCCTCAGATATAGTGATATATGGGAATTACTATTTGTGCTCAACATTAGTGCCAAAAACATCTCTAATGATTCGGTATGGCATGGTATGGAAGGAGGTCAATGGGTCCTCTGTTATCTTACTTTTTCAGCTTTTAAAATGTTCCAGTTTCTCTCCACTCCTCCCACATTTCCCCTTTGTCCTCAGTTTACTTCAATTGCTGCCAACTGAGGTTGCATCTACACTGTAGAAATAATGTAATTTTATACCACTTTAACTCCATGGTGCTATCTTACAGAATCTTGGAATTTGTAGTTTTGTGAGGCATCAACACTCTGGCAGAGGTGGCTAAAGACCTTGTAAAACTACAGATTCCAGGATTCCATAGGATGGAGCTCCAACACTTAAAGTGGTGTCAAACTGCATTATTTCTACAGTGGAGAGGCACCTGAATTCATAGTGCAAAGGTTAACTCAGGAGGAAGGGAGAAGAGAAATGGATGTGGAGTCTTGCCCTAACTTGTGCGAAGACACCCATCAGTTATGTCAAAGTCCACTAGTAGAATTAAAATATTGCTAGGTAGTATGTGAGTTGGATGGGGAGAGAGATAAAAATAATTATAGAAATATTGGAGCTTCATCACAGTACACAGATAGACCTACAGATTTAAACCTGTAGTGGTTTGAATGTAGTACTATGACTCTGGAGACCAGGGTTTGAATCCCAGCTTGGTCATGGAAACCTACTGGGTGACCTTGGGCAAGTCACACTCTCTCAGCCTCAGGAGGAAGGCAATGGCAAATCGCCTTTGAACAAATCTTGCCAAGAACACCCTGTGATAGGTTCACCTTAGGGTTGTCATAAGTCAGAAACAATTTGAAGGCACATGGCAACAACAACTGCAGGCCAGGGCAGTTAATATACTCTGTAGAAGCAAGTGATAAAAACCTGGATTTACACTCATTAAAGTCTACAGTACTCTGATTTTGTTAATGCCGCGTCTCATCCCAAATTAGAACAAGCAAGCAAATATTGAGAAATCTGAATACTGAAAAACAAGTTGTCATGGGAAAAATACAGTTTCTTCCCAACACTGCCCACAGTTAATCCTCCCATAGCTGTGTAGGGGGTGTTGTGGCTATATGAAAAACTTGTGGAAGTTACCTTTTTGGACTACAGCTTCCAGAATCCCCCAGACAGCTGGGTGGGTATTGGAAGCTGTAGTCCAACACTCTCCCTGCAGAATCCCTATTTTACCTGCAGAAAGTCCCTCAGTTGGTCATTGCTATCTATAGTTCAAAGAAGGAGACAGCAGTTGACCTGAAAAAATCTGTTCCTGAGATCTTGGAGACTAGACAAAGGCTGCTGCCACACTGCAGAATTAATGCAGTTTGACACTGCTTCAACTGTCATGGCTTCATCCTATGGAATCCTAGGATTTGTAGTTTGTTGGGGCACCAGAGCTCTTTGATAAAGAATGCTGAATGTCTCACAAAACTACACATTCTAGAATTTCATAGCATTGAGCCATGGCTGTTAGTGGTATTGAACTACATTAATTATGTTACCCAAGAGTGGGTTCCTGTGGCCTTCCAAATGTTTTTGGTTCTCACCAGCTCTAGCCAGTACTGCCATTGGTGAGAGATGATGGGAGATGCAGTTTATCTAGAGTGTATCTAGAGCACATTTGCTTATCCCGGGTGTAGACAATGCTAAGCTCGATGGGCAAATAATCTAATATCGTGTAAGACAACTTCCTATCGAGTCCTATTAGGAATTGCCTGAGATGTCACTAATGATGGGCAAGGGATATAGCTATGGGCTAAGGAGAGCAATATCCACCTTTAAGAATATTCCTCATCTCCTCAAATTTCTAGCACCGCAGCAACTTAAAACTTCAGTTGACCATTTAGAAATCCAGTTTAGAAAGAAAGAAAAATACAAAAATGAAAGGAAAAATACAGTTTAGAGGGAAAGAACGAAAAGGAGCAGGTAAAATTACCAAGAGAACATGAACACGGCAATATATGATCTCTAGGTGTGAATCATTTTTAATGTCTCACTCATTGCAATACTAGAAATCGGAAGACTTCATTTGGGAAGGGTAGAATCCTTATTTGGGGCCAATGCCCTCATTTTGTTGGGGGGATTTTATAGTTAGATGCCATTTTAATGATAATAAAATGTTTATGGCATTTTTGTTCTTTGTGTGACCATATGTCAGAGTGATCTTCCCTAACATGGCATCCTCCAAGTGTGTGGGACTGCAAGTCCCATCATCTTCAGTATCATGATCACCACTCTGGTTTAGGTGATCAAACTGCAGTAAAAACATATGAAAGCATAAGGTTGGAGGATGCTGCTGAGAAGATATGATGGCAGCGGAACCAGAAACATCATATGCATATCTAGTGTGGCTGTCCCAAATGTTACAAGATGTTTCTCTAAAAAGTATAGTTGTACATTTTTTTTTACTATGCAATGATGTTGCAATAAATTTTGAATTGGCTTATTGCAGCCATGCACGCATGTGTGCATGCTGTGTGCCTTCAAGTCATTTCCAACTTATGGTGACCCTAAAGGCAAATCTATCATGTGGTTTCCTTGGCAAGATTTGTTCAGAGGAGGTTTGCCATTGCCTCCCCCTGAGGCTGAGAGAGTATGACTTGCCCAAGGTCACCCAGTGGATTTCATAGCTGAGATGGGAATCAAACCCTGGTCTTCAGAGTCATAGGCCAATGCTCAAACCACTATGCCACACTAGCTCTCATTGCAGCCATGTACTCAAGGAAACTTCATAGTCATGTCTACTATGTGTGTTTGTTGTTTGCTGTCAAGCCATTTCTGACTTATGGCAAACCTATCATGGGGTTTTCTAGGCAAGATTTGTTCAGAGGAGATTTACCATTGCCTTCCCATGAGGCTGAGAGCATGTGACTTGCCCAAGGTCACTTAATGGGTTCCACAGCTGAGCTGGGTATCAAACCCTGGTCTCCAGCATCATAGTCCAATACTCAAACCACTACGTCAACTCTGGTTTCTTGTCATTAGATGTATTTCTATTGCTTACACTTAAAGGAGCTGGCACTCCAATTAAAAAAAATTGCCACATAACACAAACATCCAAACAAAAAGAATCATAAATAAAATTTAACAGTTAAATTTACAGTGCATAACAGGATTCCTGTACACAGTTACCTGGGAGTAAGCTCCATCAAACTTACCACTGCTTCAGCCTGACTTAAGTAGATCCAGCATTTCAGCCACTCTGATTTTAACCAGCGTTATTCATCATGCTGAAATGTAGCTTGTAGCTTTTAATTAGATATCCAGACAATCTAGAGAAGAAGTGTTAACAGATGAATTGCTAGCATGAAGTAAGAACCCCATATAAGAAAATAGGGGGGGGAAACCTAACTTCTGTATGATTCTTGTCTTCATTACCCAGTTCCCTATATGCTAATCTGTCACAAACCATGCTAAAATCTGAATGCATCATTATTACCCCATATACATGTCCAAGTAATTATATCTTTCAATTATACTAGTGTTTAGATAGACAATGTCATCACCCCTCCTCTGAAAAAAGTCCCAGGGGGCTGCAGTCTTATCTGTTATACCTGTTCTCTGGTATGCGTACATGTATGCACAAACATACATTCAGATAGAAACCTCTATGACTGATTAATCGTATCTAACATATACTCTGCTAAGGCTCATTTCACAGTTAGGACATGTGTGGCCAAACAATATGAGAGCATGGTTAAGATGGTAACAATTATTTAGGAGAAAGAACACACGAGCTAGGAGATGCTGTAGCAGTTTGCTTTTGTCTGG